GACACACACACACACACACACACACACACACACACTTATTATATATGTTCATAATTACCCTAACAATGCTATGATGACACCTGAGATATAAGCTATCATGCCAGGTTCAGTTTTTGTTGTTGTATCTATTTCAGCATGGCAGTGTGGACAAATTGTATGAGTCGATTGTGGTCCAAGTGGAACGATAGTTGTAACTATAGTAGGTCCATTTGCATCTACAAAAATGCAGATAATTAATATTGTATATGCATTATATGCTTTATACATATCAATAATTAATTCATATTGTTCTTTATGTCTTTTTTATTTACAAGTTTGAGCTGGTGTAAAAGGACTAGCTGGAGGAACTCCTCCTACACTTTGAGAATAAGCAGGTGGTGCATAAGGTGGAGGTTCATAAGGTGGTGGTGGTCCATTTTTATACATGTTTTTGTATCTGTTAATATAAAAAATTTAACTGCTATATAATATAAAAATACTCAAGAACTAACTGTTCATTTAATTTAATAATATTGCGATTTTTGTTAGATTTTGTAAAGTGCACACACATTTTTTATAGAATAGATGATTATAAATATCCATGTATATATTTTATAGAATCCAGCTCTTATTATATAATAATGTATCAAGATGATAAACCTAGATCAGATAATATTTTATTTCAATTTATATCGTACAAAATGCAAAATATTATTAAACAACGAAATATCCTATTGCCTAGTCGTACATTTGTAACATGATACGCCACACTTTAAAAATAGAGATGAGTCATTTCGAGGACATTAAAAAGTTGGAGATTGATAAGATCTGCAGATTGTTTAAAATTGATTATTACTTTATGACCAAAGTTGTAATTTTCGGCTATAAAAAGAAAAAAAGGAAACAAAAGAAAATGCTAAATTTCAAGTAATCTAAACAAATCCATGTATATGATAAAATGAGTGACGCGTTTTACACTTAAGATTATGGTTCAAATCAAACTAGGAATACTTATTGCGAAATTTTATGCACATTTCAAATGATATATTCGTCTCATTTCGATTTCCACAGCGTGTAGCAAAATCAAGATCACTCAATCACGTGATATTTTAATTACCTATCTATCCTTGACAAAAAATGACAAATTGAATTTCTCGTTTAACTATAAGGTCTCTAATGATCGTCTCTGATTTTTATAGATAATGCATACTTTGCATACAATATGTATCGAATTATTCGTCATAATACTTCTGTATAAACGGAAAGAAATTGTGAATATAGGTATAATTGATGGATGGTGAATATACGTACGAATATGATATCGAAATATCCTATTTTACTACTTTCAAGTTTTGTGTGAAGTCGCGTCGATTTATATCGACTTCGTTTTTTCTTTTCCTCTTCTTCACTCCTCTTATTGGCCTTGGCTCAAATCATAGATCTTATAGTACCGGATACGCCTTTTGATTAAAATTGAGGTCCGAGTTGATAGAGCAAGAGAATAATATTCTATCCTTCTGTTTCTATATGATAGAGTGAGAGAGTAATATCTTACATTCTCCTTTATCGTGTACTTTCGGAAACTAAAGGATAGAAGATACGATACATCTATTATCTCTTTCCATCTAAAGGAAAAGGAGTATTCAATACTATAGATCTATGGCTCAAGTCATGAAGTAAAGCTGCTTTTTCATGCAGCGAAGCAAAGCTAGCTTTTACCCTCTCTAATACAGCAAACTAGCAAAGGCATGCTGAAAAGTTTGACCAAATCGAACTTATAGCGAAGTAACGCTAGAAAAGTGTTGCCGATGAAGTGAAAGAGAAATTATAAAAGATATACAGATACTTATTATAGAATTTTAAAATTATGAAATGGACATCTTTGGCAGCGCCAGAAATATGTACGAAATAAATAATAAATAAATTAATAAATAAAAAATAAATAATAATAATAAATAACATAAATAATAAATAAATAAAAATAATCAATGTAAAAATAAATGTAATGTAATGTAATAATAATAAATGTATCATAGCCAGTGCAGCAATTATGTGTCGTCTCCTAATCTCTATTGTAACTGTATCATTATACGTCTATATTGCTCCATTATTCGATGTACTGACAATTATAATTCAATGGATATCGGAGCACAGCCAGTCTTTACGCTGCTTTGCATTGAGGTGGAGGGGATAAAACGCTAGCTTTTCTTCGCTCCATGAAAAGGAAGGAGGCGATAAACGATAGCGTTTCAACGCTGCTTTTCATTGAAGTGGAGTGGAGGTAAAAATTACGAATTAACAGTGGCCGTGTAAACGTAGTATAATAGCTGCGTTCTGATATTTGCTGCAAGAACTGGAAAGCTATAATATATGTGACATAAACTATACATTTTCAATACTGATAGTGAATATCGAACACAAACAATAGTCCTGTTCTTTTTGGCTGAACTAATTGTACTAGTTCACAGTTTATCTTTCTTTCTTACACTGGAAGAAGAAAGATAAACTCTGAACTAGTGCAGCCAGTTTAGTTAAAAAAAAAACAGACTCAATATTAGTAGTATAGTACATGTCTACTTGGAGCGCTGTTTTCAATGCAGGATATGAGAAAGATTTATTTCAAACATCATATAGTACATACTGACCATTTTACTGTATTGGAGTATTGGAGGAGTATCGAATATACACAAATAATAAGAATAGGAGAAGGAAGTCTACGGGAGGATTAGATCCGTATCGGAAGCATTCGAGAAATTGTAACAATTAATTTTATCTCAGGTAATCATTAGAAAGATGAAAAACTAAAGTAATGCATTTTTCTGAGTGAAACGTATGATTTTCGTGAAACTCCTGTCCAAGACCCAAATCGCTACGTGATTAGCATCAATTCTCCACGATCGATTTGTCTTGGATCGAATTGCTCAGTATAAATTTTTTTGCAACAAATCAGTGCAATGGTTCCCCAATAATTTAATCGATTCGAATATGTTCTATTGAAACTTATAAGCGGGAGTCGATTTTGCAAGAGATATATTTAGTGCATAATGTACTTTATATATTCCATGGAATAGTTAGAAATACGCATTCTTGTAATCACATATTTTAATTTTTGTCAAGTATTAAGTCTGTTTTTCTACAGCTAGTGTACATTTGTATTTAAAATCAAATAAATATATATTTCAAGTTTAGAAAAAAAAAATAATATAAATGCAGTATGATACAAACAAAAAAACAAATCTATTGTTCCAGAATGGTTTTAAATCGCAACAATAAGAGGAAGAGAAAGCAAGGCGATTTAGTCGATCTTATGGAGCCACTCTCAGAATCTCCGAAAAGGTAACTTTATTTATATATATTACGAAAATTTTCCTGAATGACATTCTTGATTGGCCAATATTGGTCATTTGTTGACTAATAGTTAGTCAATCAGTGTGTGTATTGCTTAGGAGTTATTTCTCATATATATGTTTAGAAAAGTATGTAAAATATAAAATAATATATGGGCTTAATTATATTGCATTTGTATCATATTTAAAAAAGTGGTCATTATTAAGTTTGTAATTACCTACTTTAGGACTAAAGTTCATGCACAGAGAAAGTTTGCTCAAGGTGCAACTACAGTATTTAATACATCATCTACACTTATCAAGGACAAAGAGAAAGTGAAACCTGCCATGATCACAGAATTAATAACTCACAAACGTCCAAATACCGAGGACTTTCTAACATTTTTATGCTTCAGAGGTTAATTCTTTATTTAAAATGATAATATTATTTTTATATAAATTAATTCTTAGCTAGCAAGGCAAAAAATGTTTTTATATTATTGAAAGATTATGCATATTAAAGATTCTGAAGATGTAGATATGAGATATTTTAGTTACATAAAATTTATCTCTTAATAAAAAATACAAAATGGATTATTTAGATACTTAGAAAATATTTTGAGAATCTATATGATATAATCTATTTGATTGAGAAATTTAATATTAGTTACTAAAGGAACTAATAATAATTTGTATGTGTGTGCACGGCGCACGCACGCAGGCACGCACGCACGCGCGCGCACAACACACACACACACACACACACACACACACACACACACACACACACTACGTT